ATGCTGCCAGACCCCTCTCTTTTCTCCGTCACAGATGCTGCCAGACCTGCTGAGCTTTTCCAGCAACTTTGTTTTTATTAACCATACAAGTCAAACTGGTAAACGTTCTACTCAAAGTTTATATAATTGCAGCAAACAGAACTCCAAATTGAAACTGTCCAGACAATCTCCCAAGTACAGTAGGTTAATTCTCTCCAGCAAAATACAGCAAGTGGCGGATAGCTACATAATACAAACAATGTGTGTAAAATTAATCCCAGCCATTTCCAGCTGTGGCCTATGAGGTAATACCCAAATCATATCGTAGACTCTGGCTGGGATCTCTGGTGGTCCTATCACAAAGCATTCTTTGTTAACTTCAAAGGTTTTTTGTATCATTGCATGCTAGTTGGTTAGCAGTAATTTACATTATTAATTGCTGTGATTGATATTTTTATTTTCCTAGGAGCTGCTGCCCAGGAGGCCATCAAAATCATCACAAAGCAGTTTGTACCTTTCAATAACACATTTATTTACAATGCAATGTTGCAGACATCCATGACTGTGAGAATGTAGGGCCTTTGTTCCCTGAAGCACAAATCTGTATGCAAATGGAGACAAGGACTGTCCTTCTAGAGTGTTCGTAAACAATTTATGTAACAAAGTTCAATTAAATTAATAAAATTCCTTAAGTTTGTTTTTGTAAGGTGCTCTGTTTACAAAATGTTTTCTCCAAAGGAATGCAGTGAATTCAACTGTGAAAACAGCATTGAACTGAACCATTTGAGTGAAATTTGTGCTGAATCTAGTTGCTGTGCTGCTATGTTTGTCAGCCACAGTTCTGTAGTAGCATTCTTGCCTCACTTGAATCCCAATGCTGTGCTTTAAAGTCACAATCTAAAGACTTCATTAGGACAAAGCTAGAGTGAAGGAGTGTGGCACTGTTGGAGGTATTAAGCCAAGGTCTTGTCTGCTCTTTCATGTGAATGCAAAAGATTCTATAGTAGCATTCTTGAAGAGCTGGGAAGTTCTTCCCAGTGTCTTGGCCAATATTCATCCCTTAAGCAACATTTACTTGATCATTATCTCATTCCTTTTTGTGGCAGGTTGATACACATCAGTTGGTTGCTGTCTTTCCTACGTTACAATAATATCCAGACTTCCAAAATACATCATTGGCTGTGAAGTGTTTTGGGGCATTGTGTTGAAAGGTACTAAATAAATTTAAGTTCTTTATTTCCTGAGTGACCAAATAGAAGCCATTTCATAACCAATGTTTTGGGTTGATGGTTGAGACATTGGGAGATGTTAAGTATTCTGCAGTTCTCATCCTGATCATAGTAGTCTGATGCTTCTGATTGCCAGACCTCAGATATACTCAACATTTTCCTCACTGGGCCAATTGACATTTATACCCTTTGGGATGAGGAATGTGTCTGGCAAAAGCGAAAGCTGGTGTTTCCATCCTGCTGGATCTGGCATTGCATTTTGGCAAGTGTAGTAAATTTCTATTTTAATTTGCGTGTGGCTCAGATGCCTTGCCATAATCACAGATTAACCAACTCAGTTGAGTAAGATAGAGGTAAAATCAAAGCTGAGAAATGTCACCTTTTTGGATTGCTGGATTGGTGTAAAATGTCTGAACAGCTGAAAGCAGGTGCCATTCCAGATTTACGTGCCTGGCAACAAACAACAGTTGTGAACATTCCCAGGACTGGCAGGTTATTCTGGATGGTGGTCTTCAACTATAGCATCAATGCCAAATGTGGATCTGTTCTTGAAGGTAAAATCAAACTAACTTGTTTGGCACACTACTTTTCGGGGAACCACCTGACATCGAAAGATTATATAGAGACCTCATGTTAGCTGGACCAGGTTACCCATACAGATTCATCATTTACACAAGGTTATTGGAACTTTGAATCAGGTGAATAAACAAGAGGAGGATCACCTGCTTGTTGAGCTAAGCAATAAGCCAGTAAAAACAGAAGCAGTAGTGAGCTATTCAGTTCTGAGGCTGATCTGTGATCCAGTTTGATTATGGATAATCTCAATCCATCTTGATTCCATAGATAGACCTGTTTGGCAACTAAAATGGGCACAGAGTAAGGTGGATGCTGGAAACTTGAAACAAACACGGAGATGCTGGAGAAACTCAGCAGGTCTGGCAGAATCTGCGGAGAGAGAACAGAGCTAACATTCAAGTCCAGTTTGAGTTATCCATTCTGAAGTCATACTAGACTCAGAATGTTAACTCTCTTTCTGCAGATGCTGCCAGACCCATTTTGCAGCTGTATTGATCTCAGTTTTAAAACTGTAAACAAACCCCCTGCAACAAATGTGAAGCTGTAGTTGGGGGATTAGAATATGTAAACAAAGCAATACAATCTCAATTCTTCATGTTTTTAATCCATATTCCATGGGCTGAGGAGTGTTATCACCATACTACCTGGATTTCTGGATTAATAATGTCTGGGGATCGAGGTTGAAATTCTGCCATGGCAGAGGGTGGAATTTAATAAAAAATCTCAAATTAAGAGCCTAATGGTAACTGTGAAATGACTGTCACTTGTCTGAAAAACCCATCTGGTTTGCTAATGTCCTTTTGGGAAGGAAACTGCCATCCTTACTTGGTCTGGTTTACATCTGACTCCAGACCCACACCAAAGCGGTTGGCTCTTCACTACACTCTGAAATGACCTAGCAAACCACGCAGTTATAATAATTGCTACAAAGTCTTGAAAAAAGAACTGATACCGGACAGACCACCTGGCAAGGAACTAGATAAATTTTATAACTCCCTCACACCAGTGAGGTCTACTATTTTTCATCCTAATAGGCATAAACTTGAACTGGCGTGAGGAGGAGGAAAACATGGAGCATTTTTGGGCTCTGGAAATCTGAAATATAATTTTACTTTGATCAGAACAAGACCTGCAATTTACTTAATGTCTGTCAACCATCAATCTGCACATGGACTGCAGCGCTCATCACCACCTTCTCAAGGTCAACTAAGGACAGGCACAATGCCAGCCCAGCCAGCAAGGCCCACTTCCCAAGAGTAAATAAAAAGTCTTCTCTCATGTGTCTTCTAATCTCAATAGCATATACAATTTCTCCTCATGTTTAATTTAAAAGAGGTAGGCCATTCTTCAAACCTCCCCTGAACCTATTGTGCTAATCATTAAGTGGTTACAGAAGGAGACCATGAGGCCCACTTAGTCCTTGCTAATTCTCTTCAGAAACAATTTAATTAGTCCCAGTCCATTCCCTATGGCCCTGCGCTTTTTCTCCTCCCCTTTCAGGTGCTGGTCCAACTTCCTTTCAAAGTCACAATGGAGTCTGCCATCACTGTGCGCTTATGAAGTCATAGAATCATAAGCACAGAAACAGAACCTTTGGTCCAACCAGTCTATGGCAAACATAATTCCAAACTAAACAAGTCCCAACGGCCTGCTCCTGGTCCATAGCCCTCCAAACCTTTCCTATTCATGTACTTAACCAAATATCTTTTTAACATTGTAATTGTACCACATTCACCACTCCCTCAGGAAGTTCATTCCATGCGCGAACCACTCGGTGTAAAAGATTTGCACCTCATTTCTTTTTTAAATCTCCCTTTCCTCTCATCTTAAAAGTGTGTCCCCTAGTCTTGAAATTTCCCATCCTAGAGAAAAGACAGCTGCCATTAACTCTATCTATACCCCTCATTATTTTATGAACTTCTTTCAGGTTGCCTCTCTACCTCCTATGCTCTAGTGGAAAAAGTCCCAGCCTCTCCAGCCCTTTTTAACTCAAACCTTCCATACCTGACAACATCCTGGCAAATCTTTTCTAAACCCTCTCTTACTTGTTCATATTCTTCCTATAACTGGGTGAGCAGAACTGGACACAGTACTCCAGAAGATGCCTCACCAATGTCCTGTACAACCTCAACATGATTTCACAACTCCTGTACTCAACAGACTGGGGTGGCACAGTGGCTCAGTGGTTAGCACTGCTGCCTCACAGCACCAGGGTCCCAGGTTCCATTCCACCCTCAGGCGAATGTCTGTGTGGAGTTTGCACATTCTCCGTGTCTGCATGGGTTTCCTCTGGGTGCGCCAGTTTCCTCCCACAGTCCAAAGATGTGCAGGCTAGGTGGACTGGCCATGGAAAATTGCCCGTAGTTTCAGGGATGTGGGTGGGTCAGTCATAGTGGGGGTGGGAGGCTCTGAGGGTCAGTGTGGACTTGTTGGGCCAAAGGGCCTGTTTCCACACTGTAGGGATTCTATGATCTATGACTGAGCAATGAAGGCAAACATGCTAAACGCCTTTTTAACATACTGTCTAAATGTGATGCAAACATCAAAGAATTATCTACCTGAACCCCTAGGTCCCTCTGTTCTGCAACACTAACCAAGGCCTTACCATTAAGCCCTACTTGTTTTTTGTTGTACCAAAATGTAATGCCTCGCATTTATGCAGATTGAACTCCATCTGCCATACTTCAGCCCAATGACCTAATTGATAAAGGTCCCTTTGTAATCTCAGAAAACGTTTTGCACTGTCTACTACGCCATCAATTTTGGTGTTGTCCGCAAACTCACTAACCATGCCTTCTATATTCACATCCGGATCATTTATATAAATGACAAACAAGCGGACCCAGAACTGATCCCTGTGGAACACCGCTGGTGTCAGGCCTCCAGTCTGAAAAGCAACCCTCCACTCTTTTAAATGCAAGGTATGAATAGAAAAAAAACCAAGACCCCCCCCACCCACATGAGACTGCCATCAGACACTCCCAGGACATAGACCGCACTAGGTGAAACACAGAACAATGCCCACTCTGCTCTTTCAAAACAGAAAAAAAAGCTGCCTTGATTTTGCTAAACAAAACTAAAACCTTATTACTCTGGGGAAAAACAAAAACAAATAAACAAAGAAAAAATGGCTCTCCTTTGACTCCATCTCCACCAACCTCATTTTGGCAGGGACCACAGGGGGCCAAAATAAAAAATAAACTCAGCAAAAGCAAAGAAAAATAATTAAACAAACAAATAACCAACTAAATAAATAAATCCCCTCTGCTCCATCCCCATTGAATATTCTTGGGACAAACACAACAATGGTTTAAAATCCAGAGAAAGTTCCCCTGCTTATTTCAACTAAAGATAAAATTCCCATCACACCAATCCCCATCAAGCGCATCTGAGACACAGACAGTATGGGGCTAAAATAGAAACCCCCCAGGCTCTTCCAAAGGGTCCAAAATCAGAACAAAGGGAAAATAAGAGAGCCCTCTTCCTGGGGCATCAAACTAAAAACAAACACAAACTCAAAAAGGCAAAATGGAAACTTATACTACAGAGACAATTAACTAAATTAGCATATTGTTATCCAGGCTGAGAATGCACTCCAGCACCCCACCTTGGTCTCTAAGGGGTCCTGAATACCAGATTCTAACTAGTTGTTACTAGTTAAAGCCTTAAAATAAGACATTTCATTCATTCACAGAATGTGGGCATTGCCAAATAGGCTTACATCTATTTCCCTGGAGGATGCTGACCTGCCTTCTTGAAACTCCACAGTCGACATGGTATAGGCATACTCAAAGGGTTGTTGGGGAGGGAGTTCCAGGATTTTGGCCCAGAGGTAGTGAATGAATGGTGATTTACTTCCAGTCAAAAAGGTGTGTGGCTTGGATGGGAACTTGCAGGACGTGGTGCTGGCCAACAGCATAAACAGCCAATGAGCAGCAAATATTATAGACTCCAATAGTGAGTACAATATGTTTTATTAATAAACTACATAACAAACCAGTTACAACGAAAATGCAAACATCACAATTTGAATACAATAGTACCTGCATCTAGTTAAGTTGATCGGCCTGGGACTAGTCAGTTCTGTCATAGAGTCATATAGCACGGAAACAAACCCTTCGGTCCAGCCAGTCCATGCCTAACATAATCCCAAACTAAACTAGTCCCACCTGCCTGTGCTTCGCCCATATCCCACCAAACCTTTCTTATTCGTGTACTTATCTAAATGTATTTTAAACATTGTAACTTTACCTGCATCCACCACTTCCTCAGGAAGTTCATTCAACATACAAATCACTGTGTAAAAAAAATTGCCCCTTGTCTTTTTTAAATCTTTCTCCTCTTACCTTAAAAATATGTCCCCCCTTCCAGTCATGAAATCCTCCACCCTAGGGAAAAGACACCTGCCATTCACCTTATCTATGTCCCTCATTATTTTATAAACCTCTACAAGATCACCTCTCAACCTCCTACAGTCGATTGAAGAAAGTCCCACCCTATCTAGGCTCTTCTTATAACTCAAATCCTCTATTCTTGGCAACATCCTGGTAAATCTTTTCTGAACCCTCTCTAATTTACTAATATCCTTCATATAACAGGGCGACCAGAACTGGACACAGTACTCCAGCAGAGGCCTCACCAACTTCCCGTACAACCTCAACATAACATCCTAACTCCTGTACTCAAAGGTCTGAACAATGAAAGCAAGTAACCACCCTATCTATATGTGATGCAAACTTCAAAGAATTCTGTACCTGAACCCCTGAATCTCTCTTCTACAACACTGCCAAAGGCCCTACTTTTAACTGTGTAAGTCTTGTAAGCCTTGGTTTTAGCAAAATGCAATACCTTGCATTTATTCAAATTAAACTCCATATGCCACTCTTGAGCCCATTGACCCAATAGATCACAATCTCTTTGTAATCTTAGATAACCTTTTTCACTGCCCGCTATACCACCAATCTTAGTGTCATCCACAAACGTACTAACCACGCTTTCTATATTCTCATCTAAATCATTTATATAAATGACAAACAAATGTGGACCCAACACCAATCCCTGCGGAATATCACTGGCACAGACCTATAGTCCGAAAACCAACCCTCCACCATCACTCTCTGTCTCCTGCCGTTAAGCAATTCTTTATCCAATTGGAGATAGTAAGTAAAAACCAAAAGAACTGCGGATGCTGTACATCAGGAACAAAAACAAAAACAGTTCTGAGGAAGAGTCACCGGACCCGAAACGTTAACTTTTTTTTCTTCTTCACGGATGCTGCCAGACCTGCTGAGCTTTTCCAACAACTTTGTTTTTGTTGGAGATAGTAAGAACTGCGGATGCTGGAGTCAGAGATAACACATGTGGAGCTGGAGAAGCACAGCAGGCCAGGAAGCATCAGATGAGCCGGAAAGTTGACGTTTCGGGTCGGGAAAAGAATAAAGATACATACATTGAGGTGAAGAAAGTTGAAAACGTACATTTTACATAAATCGTCCAGATTTTGATTCTAGCCTTGTGCATAATTTTAAATGAAGAGCTGCGGATGTCGGAGAAAAGAAATAAACAAAAATAGAAATTGATGGAAAAGCTGGCAGCAACTAAACACGGCCGCTGGGAGGATCTGATTTTGGGCAATGGCCTCAGAATCAACCCGGCCCCACATCAAATATGAAGCAGCTCCACTTCCTGTTCCGCTGTCGTAATGACGCAGGGGTGGGGCATCGGGTCATGATGTCAGGGCGTCGCCGCGTGCCGGGCGGTTTACTATTTGGCGGGAAGCGTTGGTCCGCCGCCGGGGAACGAGGACGAAGAGGGTCTTAGAAATCCCGAGGGAGGGGAATAAAAACAACCTCCTGTCAGTGAGAGAAACTGTCCGAGTGAGTGAGAAATAAAAACGCTGTCAGAGTGAGAGGGTCTCCTGTTGGAATGGAGAGAGAGAAATGTCGCAGGAGAGTTGGGGAGAGTGGGAAGGAAGGGGAGGGAGGGAAGGAGAGAGAGAAGGAGGGAGGGAATGAGAGAGAGAAGGAGGGAGGGAATGAGAGAGAGGGTGGGAAGGGGAGAGAGGGAGGGAAGGAGAAAGAGGAGGGAAGGAAAGAGAGAGGGAGGAAGGGAAGGAGAGAGAGAGAGGGAAGGAAAGAAAGAGAGAGGGAAGGGGAGGGAGAGAAGGAGAGAGAGGGCAGGACGGAAGGAGAGAGGGACGGAGACTGAGGGAGGAGAGTCCTGTCGGGGGTCATGGTGTGTTTGGGGGGGACAGAGAGCCCCAAGCAGAGCAGCCCCAGGCACCCAGTTTCCGATGTCTCTAGAGAGTGATAGGCAACTTTATTGTGTTTTAATGAGATTGAAGCAGAGGTTGACAGAATAGACACAGAAACAAAAACGGATATTACTGGGGAAACTCAGCAGGTCTGGCAGCATCTGTAAGGAGAAATTGGAGTTAACATTTCAGGTCCAGTGACCCTTCTTTAGAACTCCGATTCCGAAACTGGGCACCAGCTTGACATCAATCAAAGCAAAGGTTATATAAACTTTGAGGGCTCTGGGTCATATTTTCATTGAATGTTTTTGAAATGAGCATTAGGAAACAATGTGAAAGGGACGTGGGGAATGCAGTGTGGAGGAGAAAGGAAATGGAATGGGAGTTGAAAGGAACAGGACAGGAAAAGGGATAGAATTGAAATTAGCATAATGGATGAGGATTTAAACAGGAAATAGGGAATTGTGTTATATAGAGTGACTGAATAGATTAGGTCTATTTTTCTTGACTTTAGAAGAATGCGAGGCTTTTTATGTGGTTTGATGCCACGCTGAGTTTGGGTTTAATACAGACTCGTGAGGAGAAGGCAAAATTGAGGACTGTCTTCAGACTTAGCCTTTAAATACAAGTTATTCCACTAATACTCAATACTGCAAAACTCACTTTTCATAGATGTACCAGGCTGATTTTAAATTAAAGTTAATTATAGGTTAACTTTTCTCTGTGTTCATGTCCTTATCCTCTAGGTGTTCCAGAGTTTTGTAACTCCACCCACATTGTGCTATTAATGCCTAGTGATGTGAAGGTCTGTGACATAATCACAAGGTCGCTTCAGGGTCTGAAGCACCTACAGAACAGACAGGTGGTCAAATTGAAACAAAAGATTTTAAGCAGTCTTTTTCTTTCCCCTCCAGCGGGGAAATGTAGAATATGGGAACACAGACTCAGGATAAGGGTTATTTCTTCAGTCAAAAGTTGGGCATCGTTTTTAATTCTCTATCTCAGAGAATTGTCAATGCGCAGTCATTGAGTACATACAGATTGAAAACAATAGAGCTTTGGTTACTAAGGGAGTGGAGGAATGTTGGATAGTGTAGTGCAGTTGAATTAAATGACCATTGTACATAATTGTAGTGAAGAATGGAGCAGGTTTCTGTTCTAGAGTGAAAGAAAATGAATGAAGGGTTTGGAAGGGAAGGAGGAAAGAAAATGTTTCACACCATGTTTTTATTTCTTTCCTTGCTCTTTCTCACTGTTTATTTCATCTGTTCCTCCCCATATTTGTCATTTTTTAAAATTCCCCATATTTTTATTTAAGCAAGGCATTTGATAAGGCTCCACATGGTAGGCTCATTCAGAAAGTAAGGAGGCATGGGATTCAGGGAAATGTGGCTGTCTGGATACAAAACTGGCTGTCCAGTAGAAGACAGAGGGTGGTAGTAGATGGAAAGTATTCAGCCTGGAGCTCGGTGACCAGTGATGTTCCACAGGGATCTGTTCTATGACCTCTGCTCTTTGTGATCTTTATAAATGACTTGAATGAGGAAGTGGAAGGGTGGGTTAGTAAGTTTGCCGATGACACGAAGTTTGGTGGAGTTGTGGACAGCATGGAGGGCTGTTGTAGGTTGCAACAGGACGTTGACGGGATGCAGAGCTGGGCAAAGAAGTGGCAGATGGAATTCAACCCAGAAAAGCGTGAAGTGATGCATTTTGGAAGGTGGAATTTGAATGCAGAATACAGGGTTAATGGCAGGATTCTAGGCAGTGTGGAGGAACAGAGGGATCTTGGGGTCCACGTCCATAGATCCCTCAAAGTTGCACCCAAGTCGACAGGGTTGTAAAGAAAGCATATGGTGTGTTGGTTTTCATTGGCAGGGGAATTGAGTTTAAGAGCCGCGAGGTTATGCTGCAGCTCAATAAAACTCTGGTTAGACTACACTTGGAATATTGTGTTCAGTTCTGGTCACTTCATTATAGGAAGGATGTGGGTGCTTTAGAACGGGTGCAGAGGAGATTTACCAGGATGCTGCCTGGACTGGAGGACAGGTCTTATGAGGAAAGGTTGAGGAAGCTAGGGCTTTTTTCATTGGAGTGAAGAAGGAAGAGAGGTGACTTGATAGAGGTGCACAAGATGATGAGAGGCATAGACAGAGTGGATAGTCAGAGACTTTTTTCCCAGGGCGGAAATGGCTATTATGAGGTGGCATAATTTTAAGGTGATTGGAGGAAGGTATAGGGGAGATGTCTGAGGTAGGTTCTTTACCCAGAGAGTGGTGGGCATGTGGAATGCGCTGCCGGCAGAGGTAGTGGAATCGGATACTTTAGAGACTTTTAAGCAACTCTTGGATAGGCACATGGAGGATAGTAAAATGTAGGGTATGCAGGGTAGTTTGATCTTAGTAGGATAATACGTCGGCACAACATCATGGGCCGAAGAGCCTGTACTGTGCTGTACTGTTCTATGTTCCATGTTCAATTCAGTCACTGTCCTCATTCTTTTCTTCTTGCAAATCTGACATTTCAACTTTATCTCAGAACACGACAGATTAGAATTCATCCTATCATCCAACTCAACTGTGAGCAATGCTGTGAAAAATCTACCAACACACAAAATAACTTGGTAAATTTGTATTTTCAATTCATAAATATTGATCAATTTATTGGTCATATTTTAATAATACTATCCTTCGCTGCAGGAGGTGACACAGCATTTTCAAAAATGTTCTTATTTCTCACTATTTTTTCAAAACCTTTGTTATGAGTGAAAGATCAGAATTGACCCAGTTTTGCCTAATGTAATATTTTACACTCTGTTGCCCATGTCATAATGCAGTCCTCTGGAGGCAAATGCATGTGTTCGGCTTGGTGCCCATTGAAGTAAAAGTTTCTGAGTTCTTCTGTGAAACTGTGCAAATAATTATTTCCAGCTGGAATGTTTGAAAATAAATATTTCTAATTTAAAGGGATATTTCCTTCTGGACTCTTTTGAGCTTGAAAGTGTAGCTTGAGGGAGAACTTGAAATCCAGTTCTTGATATGTGTGAGGGAATATCTTTCCTACTACTGCTAATGACAATTGAAATCATCATTAGAAGAAATTGCATATAGAATTTCTTCACTCTCTGATGTCAGACTTGATTAGAAAACTCCGACAGAAGGTCATAGTTACTTCACAATAACTGTTGACTAGTGATCTCATTCGTACACGGAGACAAAATTAAGTGGAATTTCAAATAGGTAAGACAAACCACAAGCAGGACTTGTGGAACTCATCTCTTCATACCTCGACTCAATTTTTTCCCCCTTGTTTAATTCCTTCCCACTTACATCTGTGATTTTTCTCATGCTTTAAACACTTGTCTGCATCAATGGTGCTGAGGTGGAGATGGTCGAGAGCATCAAGTTCCTGGGAGCAATGATCAGCAGCAGTCTGCCCTGGCCCACCCTTGACCATACTTCGTGATAGTCAAGAAAGCACAACAACGCCTCTACATCCTCAGGAGGCTTAGGAAATTTGGCATGTCCACAAAGACTCTTCATGATTTTCTTATAGATGCACCATAGTAAGCATCCTATCTGGACACATCTCACTGTGGTGTGGCAACTGCTCTACGCAAGACCATGAAAGTACAGAGAATTGTGAATACAGCCCATTCCATCAATCTTCCATCCATTGACTCCACCTATACTTCATGCTGCCTTAGGAAAGCAGCCAACAAAATCAAAGACTCTCCTCACTCCAGTTATACTCTCTTCCACCCTCTTCCGTCGGGGTATTCTGCACTGTGTTCTGCTACTCTGATGCACTTTGTATGGTAGGATCTGCCTGTGTAGCACGCAAAACAATACTTCTCTCAATATCTTGGTGTGTGTGACAACAGTAAAAAAGAAAAAGTTTCAACATTTCTAGTTCGTAGGCATCAGCCACCTCCTCATGATTTGTAGTATTTTACATGTGCATCCCCCATCAAGATGGTCTCAAGGCTCACTCCTGCTTCCTGGAAAAAGGGCCTGAATTGCCCTGCGACAATACTATGGCTTTAAGTGGTGTATTTTGTCCTTTGTGCGGAAGTTTGAAGTGAGTGGAGGTAGATATAGGGGAGATGTCAGAGGTAGGTTCTTTATTCAGAGAGTGGTAGGGGCGTGGAATGCATTGCCGGAGAGGGTAGTGGAGTCTGCCTCATTGGGGCATTTAAGCGGCTATTATATAGGCATACGGATGATAGTATAAGGTAAGATTAGATAGACCTTAGGTTTAGGATAAATGTTTGGCACAACATCGTGGGCCAAAGGGCCTGTACTGTGCTGTACTGTTCTATGTTCTAAGTTTGAGATAAAGGTGTGAAATGGGCTGCTTAAAGCAAATAAAGTAACCAGCTTCTGGGACCTTTTTAAAGTTGGAACAATAGAAGCAG